AAGAGAAAGTCCCATCCACTATTTTAACAAATGGTTAAATGGAGCTGGCTGGGTGTAATAGGCTGAACTTTTAACTAAGTGGAGCCACACCTATTGCAACATCAATGCCCAGAGAATGCTCCTCCCTTTCTGGCCTTTGTTTTAATGCTGGTATGTGTGTGTGTTTAAATTAATAGACTGCTATCTCTAGAGCAGTTTCAGGTTTACAGAAAATTAAGCCAATAGTACAGAGAGCACCCATATACCTACTTTCCCCTGCTCCCAGCTTCCTCTGTCATTAACACCTTGCATTAATGTGGTACATTTGTTACAACTGATGAGCCAATAGTGACACATTATTACTAACTAAAATTCATTATATGTATAACTGAATCACCATGCTGTACACCAGAAATTAACACAACATTGTAAACCAACTATACTTCAATTAAAAAAAAACTAAAGTCCATGGTTTACATTAGGGCCCACTCTTTGTGTTGTACATTGTATGGGTTTTGACAAATATATAATGACATAACCACTATTTCAGTAACATACAGAACAGTTTCACTGCCCTTAAAATCTCACGTTCCTCCTATTCATCCCTTCCTTCTTCCATTCTTCCAAACCTCTAGCAACCGCTAATCTTTTCACTTGCTGTCTTGAAAGTTTTGCCTTTTTCAGAATGTCATATAGTTGGAATCTTATAGTATGTAGTTTTTTCAAACTGGCTTCTTTCATTAAGCAATATGCACTTAAGGTTTAGCCATGTCTTTTTGTGGCTTGACAGCTCATTTCTTTTTATTACTGAATAACATTCCATTGTATGGTTTGCTGAAGTTAGTTTATCCATTCACCTTTTGAAGGACATCTTAATACTGTCCAGTGTTTCTTGAAATTATAAAGTTGATATAAACATTAATGTACAAGCTTTCGTGTGGACAGAAGTTTTCCACTCATTTGGGACTACTCATGTAACACCTAGGAGCATGACTGCTGGATCGTATGGTAAATCTGTTTAGCTTTGTGAGAAACAGCCCAACTGTCTTCCAAAGTGACTATACCATTCTGATTTCCCACCAACAATGAATGAGAGTTCCTATTGTTCCATTTCCTCACCAGCATTTGGTATTGTCAGTTTTTTGGATTTTGCCATTCTAATAGATGTTTAGTAGTATCTTACTGATGTTTCAATTTGCATTTCCTTAATGACTTACAAATTTGAGCATTTTTATATGCTTATTTGCCACCTGCATATCTACTCTGCTGAGATGTCTGTGTTTAGTTCTTCTGCTCATTTTTTAATTGGGTTTTTTCTTTCTTCAGTGTTAGAGTTCCATGTATGTTTTTAGATATAAGCCCTTTGTCAAGTGTGTTTTGCAGATATCTTCCTCTGGCCTGTGGCTTATCTTTTTCATTCTCTTGATGTCCTTCGCAGTTTTTAAATTAAGTCCAACTTACGATTTTCTTTCATGGATACTTTTGATGTTGTATCTAAAAATTTATCACCAAATGCAAGATCATCTAGGTTTTCTCCTGTTACCTTTCATAGGTTTTATAGTTTTATGTTTTACATTTAGGTCTGTGATCCATTTTGAGTTAATTTTTTGTGAAAGGAGTTAAGATCTATGCCTAGACTCTTTTTTTTTTTTTGCATGTGGATGGCCACCTGTTCCAGCACCATTTGTTGAAAAGAATTCTTTGCCCACTGAATTGTTTGTTCCTCTGTCAAAGATCAGTTGATCATATTTGTATGGATATATTTCTAGGCTCTCTATTCTGTTCCACTGACTGAATTGCTTGTCTACTCTTTTGCCAGTACCACACTGTCTTAATTAGAGCTTAATAGTAAGTCTTAAGGTTGGATAGTGTTAGTCCTCTGACTTTGTTCTTTTTCTTCAGTATTGTGTTGGCTATTCTGGGCTTGCCTTTCCACATAAACTTTAAAATCACTCTGTCAGCATCCACAAAATAACTTGCTGGGATTTTGACTGGGATTGTTGATGAAACGACAGATCAAGTCGAGAAGAAACAACATCTTAACAATACTGAGTCTTCCTACCCAGGAACATGGCAATCTTTTATTTCTTTTATTAGAGTTTTATAGTTTCCCCATAAAGATCTAGAACGTATTTTGTTAGATTTATTAAGTGTCTCATTTTTGGGTGGTGCCAATATAAATGGAATTGTAGTTTTAATTTCAAATTTCAATTGTTCCTTGATGATATATAAGAAATCAACTGACGTGAATTCTATGGCCTTGCTGCCATCACTTATTAGTTCCAGGAGTTTGCTGATTCTTTTGAATTTCCTACATAAACAATCATGTCATCCCTGTCGTTCTTCCTTCCCAAACTGTGTATCTTTTTTTTTCTTGTCTTATTGCATTAACTAGGCCTTCCAACGTTGAATAGGAGTGGTGATAGGGGACATTCTTGTCTTGTTACCGATCTTTAGAAGAAAATATCTAGTTTTTCATCAAGTATGATGTTAGCTGTAGGGTTTCTGTAGGTATTCTTTATCGAGTTGAGGAAGTTCTCCTTTATCCCTAGTTTGCTGTGAGTTTTATCATGATTTTGTCAAATGCTTTTTCTGCATCTAGTGATATGACCGTATGATTTTTCTCCTGCTGATATAATGGATTACACTAATTTGATTTTCAAATGTTGAATCAGCCTTACATACCTGGAATAAAACCCACTTGGTTTTGGTGTATAATTCTTTCTTTATACATTTTTGGATTCAATTTGCTAATATTTTATTGAGGATTTTTGCATATGTGTTCATGAGAGATACTGGACGGTAACGTTGGTCTTCTTAAAATGTAAGTAGGCTGAGAAATCTCAGTGCTATCAGTCAGTTACGCAAAAGTGGTGATTAGTTTAATCAGATTAGTATTCTGAAAATCTCAAATACAATGAGGCAGACATTACTAACCAGAGAGAGAACATGAAACACTTAGGAATCAAGGCAAACATTAGCCAGGGATAGTGGTTTAAAAGCATGAAAAGCTGTGTTTATACTACTTTGCTTAGTTTTGAAGTTGTGAATCAGAGGAAAGAATCAGTCTAGGAAGAGGAGGGATAAGATATGAGTGCCTGAAAAAAATCACCCGTTAAAAGGTTTTGTGAAATATGGGCAGCTTTCCTCAATTTTAACTTACAAGTAATGTGGCCTAAACCCCAGGTTCCCCAACTTATGTACTGTCTTCCAAGTCAGAGGTAGTAAGGCTCTGCTTCTCTCTACCCAGGCCTGCGCCCTCCCCTTATTTATTAATCTGCTCATTTCAAACAACCAGAGAATTTTTTTTAACAATAGAATTTTAACTTCAGAGTACCACATTCACAATTTTTGCCAACTTTAAATACTAATTATACCATTATTTATTAAGGTATTTCATAAAGGTCACTTTTTATTAAAATTAATTTCTTTTAAAAGGAAAATTTTATATCACTATCATTAATCGAAACTAGTATCCCTTACCAAAGAGACATTATACATTAATATACATTAAATACATTAACCCTTAAAATTAAAAATGTTTACCCTTCTACTACCTAGAAGATAGTTGTGTAGCCAGAGGTCAATGTGTCCTATACTTAGAGAAATACTCATCAAATCCACCTTTCTCCTTCATTTCATAAGCAATGAAACTGATGACCAGAAAGTAAGGTGAGCTATTCAAGGTCATAGAACTAATCAGTAGCTGAGATGGAGCCAACCCTCCTTCTTTCTTCCACAAATAAAAACCAACTCTCCACACACCTATGCTACTCTTCTTTCCACTACATCACATTAAAAAAAAAAAAAAAAGCAAAAGAGGACCTTTTTTATTAGCTTTTTCACTTGGCAGTCTCCAAATTGCCTTTGTTTTTCTTTTGGCAGGTTGTTTAACTGGCTCGAAACTGAACTCCTGCTGGAATAAAGCTGAACTGGCTACGGAATGGGGCAGGAATGCCAATGGACAGTAGCCAGCTGTCCTATGCCTGAAAGGGAAGAGGGGCTTTACCTAAAGGCCCAGGATGTTCCGGAAAGGAATTGGGAAGTCATGAGTAGACCCCAAACCCCCTCAAGGGACAGCTCAGTTGCCTGGAACCTGTAATGTTCTCTGCTATTAGTGTCACACAGCTGAGGATATTCAGAGAGTACTCAGAATGGCACTCTCTTGTGTATTCCCCAAACTAACAGCAATTTAAAAACACAATATAAGGTGTCTTGAGCGGGTTTTTACAAATGATACTCTTAGCCTAATGCTGCCCCCCCTAAAAAAGAGAACTAATTTACAACGTGGAAGTGTCAAAAAAAAAAAAACTTCAGAGAAAAGTGGAAATAGGAAAAGGAAAGCTGAAATGTGCTTAACATTAAGAAAGGAAGTTTCAAAAGTTTACAAAAAGAATAAGAGAAAAAGTATATTCTGATAGCTGTAGTCTCTAGAAGAAACTCAACTGGAAAACAAAATAGTTGGCAATATCTGAAGAAAATGAGTGTTTTCACAGGTAGCCACCAACAAAAAAGAAAAAAGAGCAGATAAGTAGGACTACCCAGAGGTAGGACAAAAACCTGTCCACGAACACCCTCTTCTTCCTTCCACTCCTCTCTGTCCAATCAGATCCTTCCTGGTCCAGCCCACCCCCCCCCTGCATAAGCTTCCTTCTCCCTCACACTGACTTGCTCCCCTTCCAGACCTTCTGTACTTGACATTTACTTGTGGCCTTCTTTACCTCCCCAATTCAGCTCTGGGGTCTGAGACTGCAGAGCCCATGTCACACATACCTTGGTGTCCCCAGAATACCTCTAAACAATGCCTCCTGCAATGGAGATAATAAATAAGTATGTGCTAATTAAACCAAAGAAGCCAGCAAGAAATCTGTTTTTAGAGGGGAAACTAGAGTAGGTATAAAGAATACAAAATCTGACCACGCATTGTAAGTTGTACTAATACCCAAATCAATTCAAATCAATCGTGTAACAAGTAGAATCAACAGGCACAGTCACCTGAAATTGCAAAAACAGCACAGTACCTGCAGGAGACTTTCTATGGCATGAAAGCCTCGAATTAGATTCAGAGCTGCACATAAAAGACTAAGGATAAATGCCACAATCCCTGCCAGAGTTGCTGGTTCCAGCCTCTGGTGAGCTGAAAAATAAAACAAATAGTTAGAAATGAACATGAGTATCTCACATTAATACCTACACTTATGTAAAATGAAATTCACTGCTTAATTTAAATGGGTCAAATATAGACGAATCATCATAAAATTATTTAATATATGTATCTTAGTAATAAATATTTTTTAAAATGCAGAATGTCTGACAAGATGACAGCTTCATTCCCCTGAACTCAAGTTAAATTAACTTCTTTTTCTCTACTTTTTTTTCAAATATGGGATGCTTCATGAATTTGCATGTCATCCTTCTGTAGGGGCCATGCTAATCTTCTCTGTATCTTTCCAATTTTAGTATATGTGCTGCCAAAGTGAACAGTTTTTCTCTACATTTTTAATAAAGACACCTAACTTGCATTTTGGGTACACAGTGCTAAGGAGTGCACACATTTGGCAGTAAATCATATAGGAAAAAACCTAACTGCCTAAATATGTCTACCATTTGCAAAGGTGACTTTGCTCAGAAATACACTGCATAATTCCTACTTTTTCTGAAAATGCTTAGAAAACATTTTTAAAGACAAACAGCTTGCTTTTAAGCAAAGTTCTCCCTTATCTGGGTTCCAGGGCCATAAATACCATGAGACAGATGTTAAAGCTCATATATAATAACTAATCTGAACTCTGCAAGAGAATGGACTTTCATAGTTATGAGGTTCCTGGTCTCTGAAGACCACTTGAAGGTAAAAATACTAAAACACTAGCTGAAGTGACCGGTTTATTTTACAAACACATTCCCTTATCTGTCAGGGCTTCAGAGCATAAGACCTTTAGATATACAATAGCTTCCCTTCATCATCCTCTTGCAGTGAACAGAATTAACAATAGAGTCTAAATGAAAACACAAAACTAAATACATAATCATCTAAACCTCAGAAAGGAGAGAGAGGGAAAGAGAGGACAACAGAACTACATTTAGATCATTTTATTTAAATCACTGAAGTGTAAAAGCCCTAACAATGAAGTTAATGAGGTGGAACATTAATATAAGGAAGAGCTTAAACCTTTGCAACTTATATTCAGCCATTACAACGGAAAAGCTTCCCAGACAATTCACAAAAACCCATATTTCACAAGAAGTATTTATTCCTCAAGTTCAGTAGAAAATGCTAATATAGGATAACATTTTCTTAAGTTTCTTTTGTGCCCAAGGTGACTGCTTGGTCTCCCAATCAATTTCCTTGAGATTTTAATACGAAAATAAAAAGCTAATTTCTTTGTAAAGTACCAATACCAAATTTTCTATCACTAGAGGAAAAAAAAACCTCACAATCTAAAAATCTATCCAACTGGTTTACCAATCAGTCATGTTTTGCATCCCTCCCTCCATACCTCTGCACCCTCTCTGAGCAGTATGTAAGGCAGAACTGTCCTCTAAGGAAAAAAGAAATCCTTATTATGGGCCTCAAGCATAAAGCCACCTGATAACTGAACAGGTTATAGGAATAACACTTATAAAGTATACAAGTTTACCTTACCGAAGAATCCGAACAATATTTTGTATTATAATTAAAGAAACTTAAGCTTTTGATGGCCAAATAAGGGATGGCCATTTTTGTGCTGTTGTTTTTGGGTTTATTTATTTATTTATTTATTTATTTATTTATTTATTTATTTAGTGGGGGGTAATCAGGTTTATTAATTTATTCATTCATTGATTTATTTAATGGAGATACTGGTGATTGAACCCAGGACCTCGTGCATGCTAGGCATGCACTCTACCACTGAGCTATACCCTCCCCGCTGGATGGCCACTCTTGAGAGGAAAAATATTACCATTTTAATGTGTTGATCAATACCTATTTAAGAAATAAATACTATTCTATACAAATGAAATATCTGTACTAAGCTTCTAACACTTGCCTCTTGCCCTTGGAGTACTCTTTATAGTGACACTATATCATTTATAAATTATTTCAAAATGACCAGAAACATTTTTAAAGGCATGAAAACAAATGACAAGCCTCCTTTAACAAGGACAAGGCGTGCATTATGCTGAAGGACAGGCTGGAGCTATGCCAGGTCACTGCGAGGGAAAATTCTCAAGTAGAGATTCTCCCACTCCCACCCCAACCCCGTTCCCAGGAGCTGTGGGAATGGTTACCAAGAAAAAACTATCTGCACACAACATGAGGATGACACTTTGTAAAGACAAGCTGAACAAGGTATTTAATCTATCTTAATGTATTATGTTATACATATATATTTTTATTCCAGTAAAACAGATTTTAGATCCACTGTTATCCACAAATGCTTACTTCACACTTCAATTTGGCACTGTGATAGGTACTATGAGGTATACAGTGGATTTGGAACAGTAAGAAATGAAGAAATGAGAGGCAATGTAGAAAAGAATTATTTTGCTGAATCCAAAACAGTGTCACCTGGTCATTTTTTGTTTTGTTCTGCTACAATGATTTTAATTAGTCTCCTTGAGCCCAATAATAGCATTTTCATGACAAAATTAAATTTTTCATATACCAAGAATTAATGGAGAGTTTACAAAAGTTCCTTAAGAAGTAAGAGTAAATCCCTTGGAACTAAAAAGCTACTGGTTATAGTGAATTAATATATTTATTCAGCAAATACTTTCTGGCATGATTCTGTGTAAGATGCTGGGTTTTAGAGAATTGAAAAAATGAATTACACAGTCTGTCCTCAAGGCATTTCTAGTCTTTTAAAGGGAAACAGACAGATAAACACATGAAAGTCATAAGCATTCTAAACTAAAAGAATTAAGGAATTCTGAAGAGGAAAGATAAGTAGGGGAGAGGTGGTGACATAGGAGTGGTAAGAGAATCAAGGAAGATCTTTAAAGATAGATCTTTAAAATTTTAAAATTTAGACAGATACAAATGGGAAGAACTGCATTTCATGCAGAGAAAAGTATCTGAGGAGCCTGGAGATGGAAATGGGAGAAGCAAATAATAACAGCATCAACAAAAACTATTACTACTCCTTCTACTAAACCTTCTCATAGTGGCTGCTCTCAATGTGCTTTATGTACATGATCTCATTTCATCCTTCCAAGAACCAACCCTATGCAGGAGACACTATAATTATCCCAGGTTTTTCAGACAGGAAACTAAGGTTTAGGGGGATTGTGTAATTTTCCCAATTTGAGAAAAGAAACTGGGATTTAAATCTAGGTAGCCTGACTCTAGAACTCACGTTCTTAACCACTTTGCTGTTGGGCACTGCTACTGGTTTTGTTTCACTTAAAATGATGTTTATAAGAGTAGGAAGAAATAAGGTCAGAAAGGAAGGCTAAAGCAAATTAATTAACAGACAGTGTGAACTATGATGCTAAAAATTTATGGGCAAATTGGACAATGGGGAAACACAGAAGAGCAAGAAATTGCTGATTAAAGCTGTGCTTAAAAATATTTATTAGTGGGTTGTAAAGAGATAAAAAGTAGAGATAAATATTATTTTCTTACTGCCTTCTCACTAGGCATACACTGTCCCATTTAGCCTTCAAAATGGGGTACTTCATGAGGTAGGAATGACTAACTTCTGTGTCTGAATTTTCTCATCTATGAATTGAGGTTAAATAATTTGTTATAAGTCAGATAGCTAGTAAGTGCCATCTTCACAATTAGCGCTTGGGTCTGATAGGCCCATGCTCTTTTACAATTCTGCACTAGGAAGTTCATGAGGGAGTCACTGACAAAGACTGACTGAAATAAGGGCTGAATTAGGACAGTGACAGTAGAAACAGAGAAGAAAGAAGTTAGAGAGATTACAGGAGTAAAAACTATTAGACTTGGCAACTAACTAGATGTGGGACACAAAAGAGAAAAAAAATCAAGGAAAATGCCAAGGTTTGAAGTGTGGGTGACTGGAAAGATAAGGTGCTCTTAAAAGACCCAGTGGAAGAAATTCATGTTTGATTGAGAATGGGACATTTTAAACATATCAAACTTGAAGTGATGGTGAATCATGTTTAACAAGCAACTGAAGAATGTAAGAGCAGCAGGACTGAAGGAACATATGAGGTCTGCATCTGATGGGAAGGGTTTGGATGAGATTACAAAGGAAAGAAGTGGGCCAAGACAAATCCTTGGTAAACACTACCACTACAGGGAGGAAGACGAGGCAGGGGAGACAGATGTAGAACAACAAGAAGAGTGAAGAGCCACAGAAGTCTAGGAAGGGGAGACCATCAAGAAGAAAGATGCAGCTTATGATGCCTGTAGACAGGCCAAAGACAATTTGAACTAAAAAAGAAAAAAAAAAGATTTACTGATTAAGAGATTGGGTTTTGAACCTTTATAAAATAGTTTCAGAAGAGTGGTTGAAGGCAAAATTCAGCCAGTAAGAGGTTAAATAACTGATGAAGGTAAGAGATAGAAGCAGTAGTGAATACTAGTGCAGTTAAAGGAGAAAAAAACAGGATGACAGCCTGACAGATATAACAGGATTGAAAACAAATTATTCTTCCCCTGTAATGGGGTGTAGAAGGGAGATTTTAATACATTTATGGGTGGAATAACAAAATTCAGTGAAGAATAGAAGAATCAAGAGAAAGGAAAAATAACTGGTGAAACAGAGTACCAGAACATTCATGGTGAGTATCCAAAAAGATGGTACCATTCTAACCCTCAAACCCCATCATAATATAATAGTGTCTATGCTCTGAGTCAAAGTTCAGAAGGTACAGTCATTCAATTATGCCCAAATATCTGAAGAAAGAGGTTTTGGAACATAAGAGAGAAATTTCAGGTCAGTTCTATCTAAATGAGCATAATGTACTATTTAATTCTGACTAAATGAGACTAATTGTATGATACAAAAATACACTCTTCTTTTCATTATGAGGCCCTTCCATATCATCACCACCTGTCAAAAGCCTGCACGTCCTTCAAGGCTCCAAGGGCTAGAACTGTTACTTCCTTTTTACCTCTTTTGGAGCATGTATTACATTCTACCTTGTATTTTACATATTGGCTTTTATTCTTTTCCCATCTTG